TTCACAAGACGAGCTTGTTCATAAATTCATACTTTTCATTAATCACATACCACTGATCGTAATCTTCGGCTTCCAGGTGGCGTTCTAGTATATACTGCCGTTCGCCATCAACTTTAGGCCCTGATTCTTCTCAAATCCCTTGTTAGTTCGTTACATCTTTCGGTCAACAGATGCACTACCGAAAACCATCGATTATACAAGGCCAAAACCAGAAGAAGTCGTTATCCATTTGATACCAGCGGAAGCGGACGTCACATTTATTGTTACCGATGCTCTATGTCATACGCTAGTGACAACTGAAGTAGTTCGAAAGAAAACGCGCCAGGATGCAGTGCTCCAGAAGGTCGCATAATTTCATTTTTTACATGTGTGATGAACAGCGGGAGGGGTAAATGCCATATTCACGCGGATCTACTGTTCACTCGTGGAAACCACCAATAGAAGCCCTGGAACATAGAGTGGCGAATTACATAAGACCCCGCTAATATCGGCGTAATATCCGGGCGACAGCAAAGCTACCTACCAGCAAAGTTGAGTAGCGAGAATTGGGCTCACATCTCGGACCCTAGAATCCAAAGCATGCCAGTGACTGCAAAGTAAACCGCTTGACAACCTTCACCAGAATTCCCCCGTTTACGATGATCAAAATCACGTGAGTATGAAAAATGGCGCAATTCTTCAACCTTACAACACTGTCGTGATTCCAAAGACACTACAGAAAAGAGTTCTGCAACAGTTTCATACGGGTCACTAGAATCAACCGGAAAAGCACCTGTCCGCAGTTATGTCTGTTGGCTGTTTGTCAAAAAACCTGGAAATACTCGTCTGGAGCAGTCACCAACTCGCCTTTGCTTCCATGATGCCAGACAAAGCCAATCTCTCTATTTGACTGGTTTCTGACAAATTATTAGTGCCGTATTCATCTTGACATAGTAGACCTAATCAACAGTCGGATTTCCTTGTCGTTGTCAACTCATTCAGAAAATGGTTCAAGAGTTTCCTCATTAAAAGCACAATGTCAAACGCAATAACTGAAAAGTACCGCCGACTTTTCAGGCAAGACCCGTGAGTGGTAAGAGCACGCTTCACATTAGGACAGTTGCGGAATTCTGTAAACCGAATGGCATCAACCTCATCCGTACCGCACCGTTCCGTTTACAGTCAAACGGTCGTCCAGAGAGATTTGTGTATACATTCTAGCGGACACTCCAGAAATCAAAATCAAATCCAAAGGGGAGAGGAGGACCACCGAATTCATCTAAAGGTTTGTATTTATTCATCGGAGCTGTTCGAATCCTGCATTCGTCAAACGGAGTTTACTTGTCAGAAACTTTGATACACAGAATGCTATGAATACCTTTCGACGTGATGTACCCAATCACCAACTGCATGCAAAAAACATCGGAAATGAAAAAAGCCACTTACCGGCGACAAAGAACCATATAATGTTCATCTATCCCCAGTCAGTGTCAGGACGAAACTACCAAGATGACCGTTCCTGATGGTTACTTGGTAGCATTCGGAAGAAACGAGCAATTGTGCTCTGGGAAGTCCGGATTCGGTCGAACATTCACTCATCTCATGTAAATCGGCTGAGGCTAACACGACCGGAAAACAGAAAACCCAATCCTGCAATTGGCCTAAGCTATCTTGTTGGGAACTTTCACTTTGCCTGCATCACCCCAAACGCCAGTCTACTTCGGGAATCGCGAAACGGTCACTTCTTTCTAGGTGTGGGGTAAAATAGACATGAGCAAGGAAACAGAGTCAGCCAGACAGTTTAAAGAGGAGGGGAGATATCAGAGGAAATCTTACCTTTTTCTGAAAATTACTGCAAGTCAATTAAAAAGGCAAATGAACCAATTTCCTTCACTCGAAGTTGTTGTCGTTTTCTCGATAGTACCGGGTTATTGAAGACCAATAATTCAGAAATTTGATTGATACATTCGTTTTTTCATGACTTCCATTCTGGTGGAATCACGCCTTTGCAAAACGCTGTATAAATGGAGCAAGTTTTTCCGATAGTTCAACCAACTTTTTCGCCGCTTTCGGTAAACGATCCCTCTGTTGCACATGGAGTCATTGGAGAAGTGTTTTGGACAAGATTCGATGATATATTGGCGGACAGATTGCTTATAGGAGAGGCTAATCACAAATTCCCGTTCCTATACTTCTTTGCTTTCTCCTTTTCTTCACCTCGGCGATGTTCAATTTTTTACGGTTGTGCTACCCCATTTATGTTTTATTCGTTCAGATCGTTAGACCACAATGCAGCAAGTTGTTTGAAAGAGAATTATTCTTTCAAGTTTCCGTCTACATTCCGCAAACCTCGTTCCAATGGACTAGGTCTTTTTTAAACAGTGATTAGCACTGTTTTTCTTCCATGTGAAGGCATTGTAAAAATCGATGAAGGCTGTCACTACTAATGTTCGGTTGTTCAGTTGGAATGCTCTCGGTTTTTCTAGTATTTCTTCCTTTGGAAGCGATTATATCAGTAAGCTTGTGCTCATTTCACTCTGTTGCGCGCGTTCTATCTTGCGACTGTGTTTCCTTGGCTACCCGTATTTCGGTTCCCTTTATGTACGCCATCTACGAGTTTCTTCGGACTCACTCAAAAGCGCATGCTTTGCTTCAGGTTATCAGTATTGTGATCACATAGCGAACAAAACAGCTCCCTCTATTCAGTACCCCTCCTGATTAACTGTTTACTTTTTTAAAAACTAAACTACAGATATATTTATGAATTCCAGTTCTGTGAATCAATTTGTGAATCAGGCCTACGCACTTGTTTCTTCCTTTCCCACAGAGTCACTAACCCAGACGTCCGAATCCATTAATTTTGACCTAGACCAATCCTAATCTATCTCATCGTTTGCATTGCGCTAAGTCGGTTGGGAGTATGCGGTCTGATGGTTTGTTGGACAGACGTCCAACCGAAGATAATTTGCTTGCACTGTATAAATTACTTCCACCTATCGTATGTTGACCTCTTGGCCGCGCAAATTAAACCAATGATTGGTCAATCGGATTGCTCGTGGTTTTCTTATCGGGTTGCCTAAAGGCTCGAGGGGTGTTGTTGGTTGAATTCTGTCGGCAGCTAGAACAAGGGGAATAAACATCGTGGTTTTGAATTCACTGGCCCACAAATCTAACTGGATTCAGAGATCACTAAGAAGACTCAAATGTGAAGTTCACTTGGTTTAATGTCACGTTTTGTGTGGAATGGCAACTTGGTGTGGCACAGCTTAAAAATCACACCAACGACTCTATTGTAGTCAAGATCGATTCCCATAGTTCGGTATCAAAAAAAGAAATTTAGTGCGAACAAGAAGACTGCACGTTTTTGGGAAATGTCATCCATATTATCATGATATTTCACGTACCTGAGTCCAGACTCTATGCCAAACAAACTACATTAAAACAATCCTTAGAACAGAGGAGAACATCGATGATTTGCTAGTGGGCAGTTACCCAAACCAAAGCAGGTAAATATTCATGAGGAATTCATAACCAGAGGCTTTGGTTAACCAAAGCCTGACGCGCTTAGTCGTGTGGTAGTGTTTGACAACTACAGTCCCTTTTGGTTGATGTCTTGTTCATCTGATCATGCTCCCTTTNCAATACAATACAATACAATACAATATATTACAATACAATACAATTCACGGGCCCAATACATCCGGTTTCCACTGCAGCGTTCAGGAAGGTGTAGGTATGGTTCTTTCACCTCTTCCGGGTGGGTTCGGCATCAGAGCTGTTTGCCAGTTCACTCTGATGAACTACCTGCTTGTCTTCATACGGTTGTAGCCCCGGATATTACTTTAGTTGGAAAACTCCATCAGATGAATACATTTAGTAGGGTACTCTCCAACGGATGATACCCTAGGATCCTAGCATTATAATCTTCAAAAACGCAACAAAATAGGATTATTCGAGGAAAAATGGTTTAAATGATGTTGCAAACATGTTTATTTGCACACACCCCCAGTTACGGTATTTGATCTCAATGATGAACCATTGTCCTAGTCGGGAATCAAACCAAATGGTTCACTCAATTTCTTAAAAAATAAGCATACACTTTTAAAATGTCTCACTGGAATCTTCGAAGGATCGGATTTTTTATTACTCACATTGTAGATGCGGTCAGTGTTCGCTCTGCGTCGTGTACTCTGCAGTCCATCACATCGTTTCTACCACTGCTGCTTTTGGTTTTTCCTTTTTCAGATCACCACCATGGTTGCGCATCCTTCTGGCGCACTGATTCATCTATCGATGGACAATGCCAAGACAATTATCAGTGTGCTTAAGGCTGTCCAATTTCGGGATGTAAGCGGTCAAATATCTCACTAATGATTGGTTTCAGTTAGCCACTGTGTTTGCTACAACAAATGGCCTGAAGATCACCGTGGAAGATGCTAAATGTATCCAGGGTAACGCTTTTTTACACGCGGGGTTATTTCGCGAGTTTCATTTGGCTCGTGATATAATCTCATTCAAAATGAACATTAATGTACTGATTGTAAGTTGTCGAATTGAGTACAACCTCGACCACCTGATGATTTCGACCACAGGATTGTCTTTCCATATTCGGCACTTCTGGTCAACAATCTGCTGTTTCATTAGTCCTCGTGTATAAACACCACGGAAGCACGGTGGATTTACTGTAAGATGTTTCACATGTTTTTTTACTCATCTGTTTTCAACCATCGGTAGCTTGGAGGAAAACGGTGTTGTGGCCGAGTGTAACATAAAGACTATGGAAGCGTTCGAAGTATTGGATTTTGATTTCTCCAGCAGCTCGAGGACAGATAAGGTTATCGTCAAAGTGAGTGCACATTTACGAGCCGTTTTGAAACACTCAATATCGCCGCTTGCTGTCCTATCGATTTATGTGTTTCAGTTTATCTGTGTGCGTGCATGCTTGTTCGTTCGGTTCTGTGCTCGTCGCGCCCTATGGGTTTGATTGGCGAGCTTATCTCTCCAGTCACGCATATCACTGGCCACGTGTCTTGTGTGCACAGTCAATTCTCTCTCGGCGTGTTTTTGTTCGTATAGCCATGGTTGTTTTTTGGTAAGCGATTCGTGACTTGTTTAGTATTTTTTTCGAAACCATTCAGGAAGTGTATTGAGTTGTTTTATTTTGCACTACATCGGCTTTGATCTCTGTGCTTATGCAACTCATTTCGAGCTGAATGAAAACGTCCACCGCTCCCTCTCCTCAGGTGTTGAGTTTTCGCAGACAGGTTCTCAAAAGCTCCGTTTGTGCAGTTTCACCCAAGATAGACAAAGAATGAATTGATAGGCAGATTTTTTTGCTTTCGTTTGGTACATTGAATGGCGTTGAATGTCGTCCGTCGTCCGACTGTGGTTTTCTAGATATCGTTTGCAATCAGAATCGTTCATCTATACCACCTTTGGCATTTTTTAAATTCTTGTTCAGTTTTCCATCGAATGTTTGCATCTACAGTTACCGGGGCATCCGTTATCACCTGTTCACACTATTCCAAATTTCACGGCATTCCAATGTCTGACTAGTTCTAAGTTCTGACTCTGGTTTAAATGTGCTTCATACTTGAACAGTTTCAAACAATGTTTTTGAAGAGTAGATAAGTGAGACACGAATATATCCCCAATTCAATTCTCATTAAGGTTTTCGTTTCCGTGCTAGCTTCTGTCCGGACTAGGCTCCATGTACCGCCTGATATACTATTACCTTCTTTCTGGTAGAGAGGTACTAGGAGTACGGAAATCGAATTGACCAGTAACCCCGGTACACCATATTGCATCAAGTAGTCTCAATCATGTATCCACAATGCTGCGTTTTCAAAGACATATGATTTTGGTTTATAAGCCTTTGGGTGATTAACAGTTTAATGGGTGAACCCAATAGTCAATTAAATTTGTCATGTTAGAAACCGGAAATATATAAACGTGGTAAATCACATGCGAACTCTGATTGGTTGGATGTGAGTTTGAGGGGAGAAGCGGCCAAAGTTGGGGGACAATGGCAGAGTGAGTGGAAACCTCGGATCGGGTGGGAGCAGTCCAGTGCTAACGTCTTATCAGACCGCTCCACCACCAGCATCTACTTTCCGGGATCAAAAACCAGCGCGAATGTACCCAACCACGTGTAATCGTTTCGGCTCCATAAGTTGTGATTGCCACGCGTACTGATGTGACTCCCATACCATTTTGCGTGCTTCGTTACCTGTAATAATATGCGGTTAACATCTTATGCATATCTTTTCCATCTTCCGAATCCCATAACTGTTTTTAATTCTGTCTTTTTACTCCCCGCCCGCTGGTTATACTACTTACTGCCTTTCCACATTCCATTTACTCATTGTTCCTCTGAATTGACAGACAAGTAGNTGGAACCTCCACCTGACATTTATGTGGACGAGCAGAAGGGAATGAAAACAAGTGAAACACTATCCATGGTACTCAATGTGAATAATGAATGAAAGGTTGTAGTCTTTAGGAGAGGAGGAGGGAGTCACTTACCACTGAAAAGACATTCCATAACGCATGTGTCAACAATGTACTTTCTTGCACTCGGCCTGACGAGAGTCTCGGTGGTGCCTGAGATACCCACCGGAATTCAATCCAATTGGGAACTCAGTGTTCTTTTTAAAATGTTACACCTAAT